CTATAGTGTGTTTTACAAGCCTAAATGATGTCATAACATGTGCTTCATTTCAGTTTTTTTAGTAGAAAACCATCACGAATCACTTCACATTAAAGATAAGTAACTTCTATATAACATAAGAAGTCTGCTAAGCTAATTATAGATTAAAATCATACATCTCATTCAAAATATATACTTGATGACATAAGTTGTTTCAAGCAATTCTGATCATTTTCACCTGTACTTTCGAATCATATATTTCCTTCTTTACTAGAATTTACAAGCCAAAGCAATTTCCTCATTATGTTTCCCGAGATGTAAAGGATATTAGGGAAGTCTGCATACACAGAAACAGAACAGCAGCTCTGATACATATCGGGGTCTTTTCCGCCTCACCTCCAAGAGCTTTTCTGCTTTGCTGCCCTGGCTGCTTCACGTTGTGCAGTGTATAAAGCCTCCTCTTCTGTTCTTAATGTCGGCTTGCTGGCTCCCATCATACAAAGTATGAAAGTTCACAGCATCCTGTATTGTTTCATACAAAGCAACTGTGGCAGATTCTGGAATGAAATGACTGGATGAACAGACTCTAGTTAGAAATGTACAATCACTGTAACACCCTAGCATAGCTTCATTTTCTCTTCAACAGATTCTGCCTTCTAATTCCCTACCTGTTCCCTGTGTTGTGGCTCAATTACTCAATTATCCCCCTTCTACCTTCACTCTTTAATTATCTTCGAGAAATAGTTCATTCAAAAAAATTCTCTCCTGTTCAAGAGAGGCAGGGAACTTTTGCAGAGAGTCCAACGGACGGCTACGAGGATGATTAGGGGACTGGAACACCTCTCGTATGAGGAAAGGCTGGGAGACCTGGGGCTATTTAGTCTGGAGAAGAGAAGGTTGAGAGGGGACCTTATCAATGTCTATAAATATCAGCAGGGTGGCTGCCAGTCTCTTTTCAGTAGTGCCCAGTGATAGGATGAGGGTCAATGGGCATAAACTGCAGCACAGGAAGTTCCACCTCAACATGAGGAAAAACTTCTTTACTGTGAGGGTGACAGAGCACTGAACAGGCTGCCCAGAGAGGTTGTGGAGTCTCCTTCTCTGGAGACCTTCAAAACCCGACTGGACACATTCCTGTGCAACCTGCCCTGGGTGACCCTGCCTTGGCAGGGGGGTTGGACCAGATGATCTTCAGAGGTCCCTTCCAACCCTTACCGTTCTGTGATTCTGTGAAACACAGAGATATTTTTTCTTATTCTTGCATTTGGTTGCTCTGCAAATATTGAGGATACAGGAATGAAAAGAAGCAAATGAAGTGCACAACAGAAACCTCTTGGGGAGTTGATGAAGATCAGGTCAAATCACACTGCAGTTCAGACATTTTATGGGAAAAAACAACTGAATGCACTGTAGAGCTATACAAAAACAAGACAGGAAGACAGCCTGGATAACTGGTATGGTGGCCAAACCTAGCACAGACACCAACGCTTAGATCAAATCTTTGATTATAATAAGATAAGTTTTTATACAGTCTACAACATTCCAGTCTTCATTCTCATTGCACTAAGTCAAGAGCCTAAACGATGAATCACTTTGTAATGTTTTCTCAGTCAACTGAAGCAGAGGTACTGTTGAGACGTTGTAACTATAAGGTCTTTTTCTGTCTCAACAATGTCATAAGAAATCCCTCAACGAATCACTTGTTTAATCACTGTTAATTACAAAATGAATGCATGAGAAGCTTCTTTAGTATAATGCAATTACAGGGTGGAAGAGTATGGGGGAGTACCTGTTAGTACTGTCCTAGCTACAGCAATTCTGGAAGAAGAAAAGACTGCAGTCCTGTGAAGCACATGAGCACACTCAGTGAGGAGACCCTGTTGGTCTGCAGGAGAGCTCAGCAGGCAGGAGACTTAGAAGAATGGGGAGCAGCAACACAGCCAGGTTTCTGCAGGGACAGGAAGGACGATTTTGCCTAGGCTTCCAGGGTGGATTTTGTAGGTGTTGAATCCAAGCAGCCAGGGACAAGTCGCTGGACCAAGAGAGAGCCTGAAGGAGAGATACTACCATGAAATGACACAGGGACCACAAGGCAATCTGCACACAAACAAATGCATCTATTCTTTCGTATCTATCTTTTATATCTATTGGCTCATTCAGAATATTCTGTATTAGGAAAGATCATCATTCTAGTTTATGATCTAATAAAACTTCACAAATCCTTGTTAATGTTTCTTGGTAGGACTGCTTTAAGAAACACCATGGGCAAACTCCTTACCCTTCCTCCCAACGCCTGCAAGGCTCCAATCGGAGTCCCATCACAAGTGAAAACACCACTGGGCTTAGAGCTGCAGTCACGGCAGAGGACACTACCTCAGGAACAGCTTTGTCCCCATCACCTTTATTTGGGCTTGATGCTGAGGAAAAACTCTCCTTAATTAAACACTGCCACCAGTAAGGCAGATTCATATCAACACTGGAGTTATCTGGATGTTGCACTCCGGCTAGAAAACGAGTTTCATTCTCTTTAACACGAAAGCTCTAGAAGATGTTTTAGTTTCATGTGCATCACCGTCAAATAACCCAGAATCATGATAGGGAATACCACGTTTCTTTGTAAAAGGTTTGTAACATGGTGTATAGGATAGTACTGCCTATCTGTTAGACGTCAGTGACAGAAGGCGGCTGTTGTAAATGTGTTACTTACCAGCACTTGACACTTCCTTTTTTGCTTTAATCTGAAACCACAGACTCAGAATGTCCTTACTGAGTCACTGTGCTGCTGGAGAAGCCAAGTTGCACTACCTCAGCTCTGTCTCCACTCCGAGGTACATCACACGAACTAGCAATTACGTAAGTTTTCATACTGGCAGCCCATGGGAAATTATTATGACTAAGAAAGGAAAGTTAGATATTTTTACTGCCTTCATCATAAAATTTATACAAGAAAAGGCACAGATGTTTGTGCACTCACCTGCATTCCTAGCTAGGCAGGCACAAGCCAGCGTCAGTGTCAAAGTAGGCTAACTGTGGCATTCATGGGGTTTTCAGCGCACTGGGAAGTCCTGCCTCTCCCACACCTAGTTGTGCCTAAAGCAACGCGTGCTTTAGGAGGCCAGGCACACTACTGTGCTAAGGCAGTTGCTAATGCTATAACTGGAAAGGCCTGGGAGCCATTTAAACCACAGGCTCTACAACTGACTGCAATGACAAATTCCAGCTGGCCCAAGCATTTAACCTACAGCTCTGCTCCTGTGCAGTGCAACTCACATCTACAGACTCAACTCCTACTGCATGGAGTATAAAGGGTACTTGGAGAGTAGAAGTGATGAACTAGAATGGGAAGATGTCAAACTGGAACTGAAACTGGCAGGTAACTATACATCAAACTAATTCTGTGTAAAAAACTGACATTACTAGTTTTCAGCAGTCTATGGAGTTTATAGGTTTCCTGTCAGAAATGCACTTGTCTGATTTGTATCGTTATTGCATTGTAAGTCTGTGGTAATCACACATTTTATATGACAAGACTCTACATAAATATTTTCTGGTGTACATTTCAGTTTCATGAGCATTTTTGATATCTAGATCCTAGATTAAAAGAGCAATGAAAGAACTTAAGCACCACAAAAGAGATTTGGATAGAATTTCTGTATAAAAATCTCTGACACTAACTTTCCCCCTCACTCAGCTATTTAGAATGTATAAATGCTTTCATTTTCAGCAGTAAAGCTTGGCCTCTCTGCAGAGTCAGTCCAAAGTTCATGAGGTATATAAAACATAGGTTTTCTGAAATCATACATGTGATGCACAGGCAAAGACAGCTTAGCCCGGCAGATAATTTATCATACTGTCATTGCTGTCCTTGCTCCTTGCTGTAGTGTCTGAGCCCCTCACATCTATTTCAGCTACTTATTTCCACACCACCTCTCACAAACAGCAATGTAGCTATCCTCAGTAATTTTAGGCATAAAGAGAAAACATGTGATACATAAAAAGAAAGATCTACAACATCAAAGAAGATAGACAAGAGTTTCAAAAACATCCTGTAATTCTTTGTTTTACAGGCAGCAAGGTGCTTCTAAAAACTTAACAGGAAACCAACTAATTTTTTTTTTCTTTCCTTTAAAAAAATCTCGTGGTAAAAGATTTACCTAAGATCAGAGAGGTGCCTTGGACAAGGGCAGGAACTGTACCAGTGTTTCATGTTGGTCTTAAAAAAACCCACAAAGTCAACTGGAGAGTAAGAATAGTGTTATCTCTAAAGAAACTCTATTTATTTCCATCAAAGGAATTTTTTCTGTTTTTTTGTAAAAATTTAATATGTATTTCTGGAAATCATTAGCTTGCTAGCCATGAGTCTAATTCAGTAACAAGGATAAAAAACAAAGATCCCAGCAAATATGTTTTTAAATCTTATCAAAAATCTGTCACACCGCTTCACACATTTACAACTTTAACACTTTCTTTATGGTTTTTGGTGGGTTAATTCTGATCTCACATTCATTTTACAATAGTGTAATTAGAAACACTTTGATGGAGTTAAATCTAGCTTTCGTAAACTAAAATAAATCTGATGAAAACAAACCCAGTGTCTATTTCCTCTTTACCTCAACAGGCCTATCTTTTAATCTATGATTGAAACAATCATCCTTGACAAGTGATTACTCTTTGACAAGTATTATGCTTTCTTTAGCACAAAAATAGATTTCAAAAAAGAATAATGGGTTAGTAAAGTAAACCTGAATCACATCTACTTTTTAATCATTATGAGTTATACACCCACACAGTCTGTTCTGTCCTGTTTCAGCTCTAAAAATTATATATGAACTACAATTTAAGAGCCTTTATCAAAGTAAAAGATAGTGTTTATTAGTGTGAATGAGTAATACATAATAAAAATATAAGCAGCTTAACAAGATGTAATCAAAATTATCAGTACAGTAAATATATTTAAAGAGTATACACTAAAGGCTTTCATTCCTAGATGAATAGTACTTTACTTCACAGGTCTATAAAAATCAAAGTTGTATTCTTTCAGGGATGATTTCCTCGCCCAGAGCCTTTGCTGACTGTTTCTTTCTTTTCTTCTTGATTTTTATTAATCTTCTTTCGCCTTTTTTTTTATTGAATCCTAAAGGTAAAACGAAGAAAGTAAGGTCAAATGCTGTATGACTAACACTTCCAAGATTATCAGAAATATGAGACAGATCTTGTTTTCAAGAAATGTTCTAAAAAAAGAAAAAAGTACATAGTCTTACCTCAGGTCTTCATATGCCTGACCAATGCCAAGTTGTCTTATTTCTGTTCTTGTACACTGTCCATCTTTCTCTAACTCTGTCTCTCTTCCAATTTCCAGTTTCACTTGTCTAAGACTTTCAACTATCACATTTTATGAGGCCAATACTGACTACCAAAAGTTACAAGAATGTTTCAGCCCACATAACATTTACCTCTTATGATAGTCTGTGGCAGTATCCCTTCCCATACCTTTCTTGCAGATCCTCAAACATGACTTTCTGGAGGTGAAATTATTTTCATTCCCACCACAACCACTGTAGCTAAATGGGTGACATCTTCCAGTCGAGTAGTTGTAGAAAAATCTTAACTCTTTGGCTCTACAAAGTCCTCTGTCCATAGGGGTCATGCACAGAGAAGGGATGGGAGGTGGTTCTAGAAATACCAAGAAAAGGTTAGAGACAACACTGCAGTTTACCAGTTTTCTGTTATATTGATACTATATATGAGACTTGAAGCTCACAGAACTTTGAAACTTATATGAAATTTACTGACAAATTTAATTCTGCCTTTCTCAGAATCCAGGATACTTTACACAAACATCTCTCTTTTTATGATTACAAAAAATACCACAGCAAATGTTTCTCTCTTTGAATTCCAAAGGCCAGCAAAAGCTTACCTGAAAACCAGGTTTGTTTCCTATATATTTAGTGATAAAATTGCCATTTCTATGGTAGGAGATAGTATTGAAATTCAATTAGAGAAGTTTCAAGTGAAGCATTTGTAGAAAGTGAAGTGAAAGAAATTAAAATTGGACAGCTTTAAAAACATGGTAAACATTTATGATAATTCATGAAGTGAATTTTCCTAATTACTGCTAGACATTCTGAAATCAAATAGAATGTAGAAGTACCCCGCATTTCCAATGTAAAATTAAATACCTTAATATTTGGTTTGTCATATGAATACAGAAAGCTTGACCTAAGCAATAGAAGTTGGTCTATTGGAAGACTGAGCAATTATCAAGAAATAGCTTGTAACTCACAGAATAACAAAGGTTTGAACGTGAAGAGTAAGTGCACAAAGTGACTGAGATGCGGGTGCTTTAGTGCTGCTATTAGGTTTTTACCATTCCAAGGAGTAGGCTGATGGTTTGTTTCTTCAGTGTCGCTGCAAGTGAGAGTACGAGAACTGAAACACTGGAAGATGAACCTGGGCACTGGAACAAGTTCAAGAAGCAAATCCATGCCAGAATTCCCAAACCTGGAGAAACTCCATCATCTATCACCTTGGTGTGACTCATACACAAAATCAGAACTGTCACAATTGCTGTACAGGATGCAAGAACCTGAATGGGACCCATTATATTATCAGTTATGAGGGACCCAAAGGAGCGCCCTTTTCCTTCAAGAGGCAGCAGAATTGAGATAGCTGACATCTGAATGCGTAAATGGAAGTGTGAAGCTAGTCAGATGGCCTTCTTGAAGTTACAAAGCCAGGTAGAAACTTTCCAGGTTCAGAGGAAAAGACAAGTAAAAATTTTAGGGAATAATTTGGGTTACAACAGAGCTGAAGACATCCTGTTGTCACAAAAGTGGGAAGCAGATGAGTTGCTGACAGCAAGAAGTTATGAATTAACTTGGGCAAATCAAGAGGCTGACAAGAAAATAGCCAAAAAGAACATGGTACTTCTTACTTGCCTTATACATATTACACCTGCTGAAAAAGGTTCATCTGCCAAGTATAATAGCTGAACTGCATGGTGAAAGAGTTTGAAAAATTGCTGGAAAGAAATAGAATGGTGATGTATGGAAAACTAAGACAGCAAAATGCAATTAATAATATATTTGAAGCTGTGTTACCGACATCATACTATTCAAAAAGAACCCTGAAATGCAAAAAATTAGTCACGAATTGTTTTTTTAAGATAGATTAAGTTACTTTTGGGTTATAAAATAAGGACTACTTACTTTTTAATAATTGTGACATTATTGTGAGAATAAGTTTCACTCTAGATCCAGAGTAAGAGCCCCCCATGTGATATAATTTATATTAAATCTACTGTTTTATTTATAATTAAGATGTTAGTTAAATTAACTAATGCAATGCTTTTGGTACCGTTCTAGCTGAAAACTCTTGTGCCTAGAACTAATTTCATCTGTCTCAAGCTGGAGAGGATGTTAGCTTTCAAAGCATATGTTCAACAACAATAAAAAAAAAAAAAGCTTACCTATTTTAACCTGATAATTTCTGTACCTAAGAAAAACAAAGCAGAAAGGCTTGCCAGTGATGAAAGGGCCAAGCAGCATGGGTTTGTTAATTATATAAGAGAATTTAAATATGTACTTTGTAATGTAAATTACTTATCTGGTATGTAGAATTTTCCAGAGAGACTCCAGAGCACCCTCAGGGAGGAGTTCGTATAACGACTGTAAGCTTTAGGGGACCGATGGAGCCAGTGATGTGTCTACTGGTGAATAAGGACTACCTGCATATGTGTAATGCAACTGGCAGAGCAGCATCCAAATAAATGCTCTTCTAGAATCCCTCTTGTACTCTTTCTAAAAATTATGTTGTTCTTTGCCTAGATCGTTGCTAAATAAATGCCCTAGATACCTAATGCCACTCTTGTCCATCTTCAAAATATCTGCATATTCCTTATACTGACAGAAACAACCAGCCCATGAAGAAAACCTCGTAATTTTGCCATATATCAGCATTTTTCCCCAACAAAACTGTATATTAAAATAAAAATGAAATTACATCACAATTTCCTGTCTGCTGAGGATCATAAAAACTATGAATTGATGTATACTGATCACTAAAAGACCTATTAATTTTAAGTTACTGTATACATAAAATACATACTGTGTCATGCCCAGCCCAACATCTCTATTGGCAGGACAATCTATAAGCCTGTAAGCCAGTATGTTAACACAGTCACTGCGAGCATTAGATCCAGGTAAGTTTTCTCTGTTCAGCCCCAACTTCTAATGCTGTACTTATGTCTATGATGTTACAGTAAATTTAGATACTATGCCTGTTCTTGAGTTTCTCTCTCAAATGTTTTGGTTTTACAACCTCATTTTTCTGAGTTGTTGAAATGTTGTATCTCCTGCTTTCTCTATGAAGGAAAAAGGAAAAAGAAAGAAGCAAATCCTAGAACCCACAGAACTACACAGAGAGGAAGGGGTACTTACTGAAAACAGTAAAAAAAAAAAAAAAAAAAGCAATATATGTGCCACTATCAGAATTATTTTACCCCAATCTAGCCATTACAAGTCTATGAATTACAGATGTCAACTTTATTAAGAGACTACTTGAGATGGAAATGCTGGTTTTAACTCTACTTTTTTTCCTCGGTTTACATTACATTTTAGCAACTTTTTTTTTCCACAGTGCATGTAGCGTTACTCATTACATTACATAACACATTACATGTTAACGTCAAGTGGATCATATGAACCTAAAAATTAATAAATGTCCTTAAATGCTTTCTAACTTTTTTATAAATGCAACTACAGGTCCCATCCTATGGCTTTTGATGCAACTTTTAGAGAAATCAACCAGTTATCTACACTGACAGCAAGAAGCCTTAAGACTCTGGCTTCACACTTGTGTTCATGCTATTCTGTTTATCCAAAATATCTGATTTAAACAGGTTTTAAATATCCAATAGCAAGCTCATAAACTTGGATTTGCTGTGTATATTATTTGCCAAAAATATGCGACATAAGTCAGGTCATGAACAGGCATGTGGACAAAGAATTTACAATTCATACAGGCAAAGGACAACCGAAAGCTTCCAAGATGAGTTAGTCAAACAGTTCTAGGGGTAAATATTTCTTCTGGAAAATGCTGATACACTGAAATACAAAGTGTTCCTCAGAACATGCCAATTCCAGCAAAAAACATTTGAAGGAAATCAGACCTTGCAACCCAACTCAGATGGAGCTTGGGAACTGGAACTCCTGCCACTAGCTCTGCAGGAGCTTCTCAAATGGGTTTCAGGCTTTACAACAGCAAAATAGAGTGTAGAACTTTCTGTTATCTTATCTTTCTGTTACTTCTTTTTCTTGATGATGCAGATGTTTGGATTGATTCTGTTTTGCTGAGAGACTAAGACCCAAAGGTGCAATATTTGATATTTTGTTTCTGAAAAAATAAACTAATTATATGAAATAAGCAGTAGATAAAAAAGGCTATTGCTCTATCTGTAAAAAGACCATTGTATCTTAGCCTTCACTGCTACCTAAACAATCTTTAAATGTGTATAGTTTAAGATGTAATTCTTATAATACAGCTTTTTCTTGCATCCCAGACACCCCTCTCTGTGCTGTGAACAGATGACATGATCATACTTCAGAATCTTTGAAACACACATATTCAGATATAGACTCATATTTAGCAAAAATAATCCCAACCCTGCCTTGCAACAATAATCATTATCCCTCAGGCTTAGCTGGCGTTGTGTGACAACGAACTATTAATTGATTACAGTACAAAAGAAGTTTGACATGATCTTGGCAAGCTGGACGAGAAACAATGCTTATTGCATTCCCTTTTGCTAGACACAGGTATGTGATATTCATGAAACTTCAAATTTATTGCCAGATTTTTGATATATGCAGACTTCACTATCTCATTTCTGGTTGCAGCAAAGAGAAAATAAAAGAATCTTCAAGTAGACAAGCTATTACAAAAGTAACAAGTCATCTGCACTTGACAGTACTCTATAGGTATCTAGTTGCAGATGCGTTACAGTGAATGGAACTGTGTCAATTTATATCAGCAAAAGACATGGCCCTGACTTGGAAAAGTTAGAACAGGAACTGCTTCTGTGTGCCAATCCATATTGGAAGAGTTGAAAATTGACTTTTGATCCTGCATCCCACTTAGATCTCACAAATCAAATGTAGAGTATAGTACTCATAATTTCCTGCCATAGATCGCTTCTATAACCTAAAAATGAAAAGTTTGATTCTTGGCTTCACTTTCTCTTAGCTTCCACAGAATAAAAGTTATTTTAGATCTTGCAGCAGAGTAAGACCAGAACAATCTTCACGCTTTGCAGAAAGTTCGTTGCCGAGACATAGTGCTAGAAGTTTCATGTTTATATACAGAGAAAAAAAAAGTTTGTTTTGTTTGGCCATAGACAAATTCAGTTTTGTGAAGATCAAGAAATTTGTTCGAAGTCTATTAATCTGATATCATTACAGAGTTATACATACCACCAGTAACATTTATCTTTTCTTGAAATTAAGATGAAATAGCATTTCAGTTGTGAGGTAGGGTATTCTGTAAGAGACAACTCCTTGCAAAATACTTTTTTAATGGTGGTTATGTATTTAAAAAAAAGAAGAGATATAGCCAGGCCAATATACAAGCAAAACAAATGTTACAGTGGCACACCAGCTACTTCGTCTGTGCTTGAGAAGATGGGCATCAGCCACTCCATCCCAAGCAGTCCATCCGGACCTCATATATGCGCAGCCAGATTCTTGTCCCTCAGTGAGAGCCATGGGAGTCACAACGCATGTTTATGTGAGATGGCTCTACCTTGCAACTTCAGTTTACACCTCTACCTCGGGTAACAGCGGGAGTGAAAGCTACTTTCTCCACATCTCTGTGGAGAAATCAAGCTGTCAGTTTTGCCCCTACTCTTTCCTCCCTTTGTAGTGGGATTGCACAAAAGCACAGGATTTTAGCCCACCCCAGCGGCCTGAAAGGTACAGGCTGATAAACAGAGTGGCAGCAGGTAGCTGCATGGGACAGGCAAGTGCAAGACAGAAAAAGGCTATATAGTGGGGAAGAACCTGGGGCGTCTTCGGACTTTCCACTGAAACACACTGCTCCTTCCAATGTCACGTTTCTTACCTGATCCATCCAGCTACACTGACTCCACCCAGCCTTGTTCTCTGACCTGTTCTTCCACCAACTTTCAAGTCTTCTCTTTCTCTTACCCTCACCTCTCCCTCCCAAAATCTGTGCTATCAGAAAATTCACTATTGCTGACATAACCAAGAATCCTTCAGTTTCCTCTGAGAAAAAGTGGTGGATCATGCCTCTCTGCTTATATAGATTAGTTGTTTTGGGAATTCCTTTCACGGAACATGTACGCTCTTATGTCTGTAGACTTATTACCAGGGCTTAAATAATTCAGATATTTTTCAGTGAAATAAGTTGCCAAAAGCTTTACTTTTTTATGTTCAGTCATTTTAATAACAGAGTGCATTGATGCTTTGCATGTGGTAAACAACAATCCAACTATAACAGAAACCTACCTCAACCAGACAGAGCATGTGGATCACAGTGCAGGCAAAAAACCCCAACCAACCAAACAAAAAACAACACACATTGAAGGCTTTGTTAGACATACTATTCTAAGCAAAGAGCACAGGAATGTTATTGTACATGCCCATTACGTTACAGATCATATTAAACACAAAAACGTCAATGAATTTATAAACCATCACTCAACCCCCAAAAGTACAAGTAAGTGTAAATGCAAAAAAACCAACAGAAATACTTGGTAAGAACGATCAGGCTTTTTCCAACTGTTTCTTGTTTCCTCTTGCATAACTGTGGATCATAAAAATGACATGCCTCAAATTCAATCACCCTTTACAGTGATATTGTGCCATATTCCAAAATCCAAATATGGTCCTTTTTTAACTAGTAAAAGAAGCTTTAAATGAGCTGCCAACTAGATCCCCACAAAAATACTAATTTTGTCTAAAAGAAGTCTGCATCACTGCTTTTGGTCTTCAGATTTTTGTATTTTTCAGACCTTCTGGAAGCACACACTTTCAGAAGAGGACAAGATGTGGTCAGTCTTCCATTTTCTGATATTTATGGAAGATCTGTAAGTAACAATATATATTTCTTTGCTTTGACTTTCTCTGCTTATCAAAACATCTGACATAGATAGAAGCCCATTCTTTAGTCTCAGATATGTTGGGAAATGGGTGGAAATGGAAAAACAATCCAGAACACATATAGAAGACCAAGGGCTAAGAACTGCAAAAGTAAATTCTTACCAAAAAAAATTGGAAACTGGTTCCGCTCCTCCTTTGGGGAACTACTGTTCAGAGTGTTGGACTTCTCATTTGGAGCAGTTGGCAACAAATTGACTAAAAGGAAGTGAAACAGGAAGTGGAGGGTTATCTAGACACAGCAAAGCTCTGAAAATAAGCTATGATTAGTACCCATTTGCCTTGCTCCATGCCAGTATTAATACCACTAAAAGGCAGAATTTCTTTAAATCCCAAAGGTATAGGGAACTGATGTGCTGAGGCAACTTGGGGATGGATGCCTTTTTGTCCTTTAATTTTACTGATATAAGAATGAAATCAAACATGGCTTCATAAGGTTATTTTTATATTACTAGCAGACATTCTAACCTTTGCGATTGTAAGCCCTTTTCAAAATGTGTTACTGACAACTAAATGGCTATGAAGCTAGTTTTCATGCTACTGAATTCACTGTGCTTATTTATTTCAACTAATGTACATACCTTCAAATGAACAGGAAAATAAGTGGACAAGCCAAGGAGCATCTGCAATAAAAAAGTATAACTGTAAACAGCAAAAACAAATTCTTACCCAAAATCCCAGGAAATTGGCTGGGTTCTTCCTCTGGAGAACTACTGTTCTCAGTATTAGGATGCTCTTCAGCTGGAGCAATTGGCAATAAATTTGCTAAAAGAAAAATGAAAGGAAAACAATGAACAAAAAACCACAAAAAACAATTGGTATCAACGATTCAACATCACTAAGTTAAAAATTTTGATCTATTTAAAGCATGGCAATGGCCCCCCTAGTCCTCTTTCTTCTTGAGTATTCATACAAATTTACACGGAGGTGTTATTTCAGATTAAAGTCAGGGGAAAAAAAAAAAAAGCATTCTGCAACTTTTAGTCCAGAAGGTAAAAGTGGAGTCAGAGTCCAGGAAGAAATGTTTCAGCAACGGTAGGGGAAAAGCACATGGCTTGTAAATCTTTAAAAAAAGAACCATAGTGGTTCTTGTCTTTTCTAAACGTGGATAAGCTCAAGTTCCCCTTGCCAAAATGACAGATTACGAAGCAGTCCTGGAAAAAGGCCCTCTAGGGAGTAACAAGACAAAAGGGTCTGGAGGCTCTGGGTGGTATTCATCCTATGAATAAAATTAAGTACTTTGTGAAGGGGAAAGGAGTTGTGAAGGGTACTGTATTCTGATACAGAACAATTCATAGAACTAGTAGGATAATGAAGTGGATGAATAAATAAGCTGTGGTCAGTCTGAATGGCTGTTTTGCAGCCTAAGCAGCACAGCCAATTCATTCAGAAGTGAGGAATGGGTTTCCCATGATTCTTTGGTGGGAAGCTAGCAGTGCACAATAAGGAAACAGTAAAACCAGAAATTCCTATATTGGTACCTCTTTTCATTACAAGAGTCGGTTTTAAGATTGTATTCAGATGTATGGGTAAAAATGTATATTAACATTTTATGATATTATACAGCCAAGCAGCCAGCAGATTTTACATTACAGGGAAAGACTTATGTGGCTGTAACCAGAATAGGTCCATTTCTTCATTCCCTGTCATTATTATCTCCATTACTGTAAACACTCTGACTTCTTCACTGTAAGTACTAATATTTTTACAATATATTTCAAAAGAAATTTCCCCAAATTTCTGTCCTAGAAAGTGTGTTTATAAAATTTTTCTCCTAATGGAAAACTTAATGGAGAAATGTGATGTTCTAATGGCAAGGAAACAGTACTCACTGTGGACCAAATCCCCTCTTCAGTTGACATTGATGTTACTTTAATTGCTTAATCTGTCTGTATGTCTTCTAACATTCTGTTTCAAATTATAGACCATATACTATTTGTTTCAACTTACATATATTAAATAGCATACAGATTTCTGAAAATTAATATAGTGTTCGTCCTTAGACAGACAGGTTTAATATGTATTTTGCTGGGGGTTGTCAAATTAGCACATATGCAGGCAACTGTCATGAGAAAAGTAAAAAGCTAGGAGTCTTGTAATAGTCATCAAAATTAATAGTACCTACCAGTTTTTTTAGTTTGTATTTTTTTGTGGGTTTTTGTATTTTTATTTTTAAAAATATACAATTTATGTTAATTTCAGATATAAATTAGTGCCACCTCAGGGTACCCAAAGTTGCCTTTTTTCCCATGCAAGATGCCTTCAAAACACAATATTGTTTATACAAGAATGAAATTAAGAATAATCAAGACAACAACTTACAGATGCCTTGGCAGGTAGTCTGGCATTCTTCCAAATTCTTGAAGTTGTTCTGGTTTCCTAGGCACCCACCATATTTGAATACTTCACATTTCTTCTTCACTTTGTTATAGAAATACCTGGAAAAATAACCTCGGCAGATTCCAGGGTCTTTCTCATGAAAGCAGAAGTTGGGCATTTCTATGAACAATAGGAAACAATGAACAGGGTAGGGAAAGAAAAAAAAAAAATCAACGCATGCTCCAAAACAACAATAGAATTTGAGGAAGTTTATAAAATACACCTGTAACTTGGGACTAAATAACAACTGTACAGTAACTGCTGCTTTATTGTACTACTTTTGTTCTATACATAGCACTGCAATATTATGTTCGAGCATTATAGGGACATTTTTATTGCTTTTTTTCTCTCTTTTCAAGAAGCCATTAAATTATATCTTGGAAAATGAGGACTAATGATTCCTTTAACTGTCCTCCTACATTGAAGCTCTGAGAAGAAAATCATCTTTTACTCTGAATTAAAACAAGAGTTGAATCTCAGCTGGATCATTTGAATCTAAGTACACATTCTTGTCATTTATGCAGTCATTTTTAGCCAATGTTAGTGTGAAATATACAGAAAGCAATGCTAAAATAGAAGGAAAAAGGAAGTAGTTTTTAAAAAAGAACAGAAAAAAAATGTAACAATGTCTTTTGTCTGGGACAGTCTACTGCTATAAAAGGATACAGGAAGCTGGGAGACAGAGCAGCTATTCTATCATTTTTCAGTCCCAGTTCCTATTTTGCAATCATTAACTACAACATTAGCCAAGAAAAAGTTAACAAATGAATACTGTGTAATTTGACTGAATATCAAGGCATGATATCACGGCTTCTGGCAGAGAAGAAAAACACGTAGCCATACAATAATCCCCAGACATCAATTTCTCACCATATTCAATTTTTTCTCAGAATTCTATTCTTAAAAGATGATCATGGAAACAATAGAGAAATGTATGTGGAGGTATTATCTAATTATTGCTAGTAGATACTTTAAAATATGATTCTTGACTGAACTGACTTGCAGAGAGAAGTGTATTTAGCCGTCATATAAGACAATCGTATCAGATGTGACATATGTAACAATCAACTCTTTTAAGCACTCCTGGACAACTTAATTTTGATTTTTTACTACAAATTGCATTCTCTACCAATAACTATATATATTGTACAGTACAGATATTTCATGTTTCTTACTATTCAAATGCAGCACCCATCGATGTTCACAGATTTACAAAACTAAGTTCACATAGACTAACAAATATGAACAGTATAGGCAAGGCATATGATACACTTTTCAGCTGAGAATGGAAATGAGACAGTTACGTAGACAGGTAGCAGGCAAGAATCTACCATAGTAGTAGCTATTCCATATACCATCTATTAGGAGCTCACAGACAATAGGAGCTACAGAAACAATTCTTTCATTAAACATTGCCCATTGGGAAATAACAGAAAAATATTATCAGATAGATATTAACTGAGAAAGGCAGGCAGATAGTAATAAAGGTATGCAAAGCAGACTACAGGATTATGACCAATTCTTAAAAACAGCTGCCCTTCATTTAGAAAATCCTTACATTAAAACAGTTCTTGCAGAAAAAGGAAATCAAGTCCAAATAAGTTGAGCTCACAGATAACTTTTTTAGCCACTTTTAAAGAGAGAGGTCATGAAGGCAATATAATCCTAACTATACAAACTAGTATTATACTTCTAAATGCCATGTCTTTCTCCAGAGACTCAGTATTCAAGACTATATTACTGGAAACAATAGTAAGCATGTAATGATGTTGATGATAGTCACGAGCTGAATTTAACAGGATATGTTCTGTTTTGTCATTAAAAGGAGGGAACTAGGGTCAGACCTTAAAGGAAGTAGTGCCAAATGTCTGCAGCATGTGTGGAAAGCCAACTTAAGTAACTTCCATAGCACAGAATCAAGTTTTGGTTTGTTTTGGGGTTTTTTTAATGCAACAGAAAAGACAGTAGACAACAGCAAAAGAAAACCATCATCTCAGTATGAAAATATTCCAGAATATCATTCTGCAAAGATAAATTATTTAATTAGTCTATTTCAAAATACATGTGCAAATATTGGTATTTCTGTAAGGAGTTAAATGCACACCAATTCAAGAGGAAGCAAGTGGAAGGAAGGATAAGGGAAGGAGGCTAAGCAGAGAAAGTGGAGCTCACTTGTGGAGAAATTTATTCAAGTCTGTATTTGGGGAACTCTGGTTACCGGCACCAGGCCCAATCCAGATAAGTCTCTAATGTGGAAAGAGAGGGTGGGGTGGAATAAGTCTTCAGGAGAGGGAAACTTGCCCCCTTGCTCAATGAGTAATTAGGGGATATGCCCTTATCTCTGTTAGCTCCCACACAGGCAACGCTTGAAAAGTTCTGTTTCAGAGTGATTTTTTCCTATTTTTGCTAACAGTGAAGGAAGCATTTAGCTTATTCTCAAAACACACAAAAAGAGTTCCACATCACGGCTAATAGTACAACACTTGAATCTCTGCAGAGTCCTTCCCTTCTTTTTATTGAAGAAAGAGGAAAAAAAAGTGTCATGATGTCTTTATTTTGTGAAGAAGAGATTGCAGCTACTGTCTTCAGTGACCATTACTGTCCTGGAGGACATAACAAGTCTCTGAGGAATACAGAAGAAGGAGTAAGAATGCACGTTAGCCTAACATTCTTGTTTTTATTAGGAGATAGCTTGGAACAATACATAGTTTATCAAAAGAAGCTAAATGCCTTACCATTGTATAAGAGTCTCAGATTACTGTGTAAACATAATTACCTTTCTTAATTTTTGCTAACATCAACTTCTGAGACAATTCTGCAATATAAAGAAAAAGAAAAGTATTTAGCAAAAGACAACATGTTAAGTCTCACCTGTGATACCAGGGTGCTTAGCCGTGACTACGAGCACTGAAGGGGAAGAATACAGCATCTCTTTCCCTTCTTTCTTCTCTTTATTAGAAAAGTAGCACAAAAGCTTTTTCTGGAGGACTGAAGTACCATTTCCTTTGTATGAGAAGACCTGCTACATTGGAAACTTGAGGATATGGAAAGTACTGGCATCAAATTATGCCAATATTGAATTCAACAGAGAAATTCCTCTTCATGTTACTGTGACCAGAATCCTGTATTATGTAATCTTGCTCCTCAAAAGAGAAGTCATTAGCAGACTTACTTAACCCAACTGCTCTAGCTACTGATACTGCTAATAGCTTCGGAGCTGATCTAGTTAGACCTCTCTCATTCTACCTAATTCCCTTTGCTATGCTATGTAGTGCTGAGTAAAGTGTTCATTGTGCTCTTTACCATATTAAAGCCCGTTTGGCTTGATCTCCAGCTATCTTTAGGGTAGTATGGATGACAAACTTGTTTGCACTGTTCTTTTAGTGCCTGATCAGCAGTGATGAAGTTGCTATTGTTATTTTTAATGGAGAAGCCTGGGTTTTATTGTACTTGCTCAAGAAGCTGGATATCCTAATTCAACCCCACCTTCCTTTTCAGCGACCGAAAACAAACCTCCTTTCTCTTCTAGGAGACTGCCTAATCATAAAACTACAAAGGAGTCCAAGGGGAGACCGGCTCAACCAATGTGTCATAAAGGCTGAAAATTTTTCCATGGCTGAGAGGAAAGTGGCCAAAGGTAGCCTATATATTTTCTATTACAGAGGTATTTTGCAGGCACATGAAATAGTAGCTTCTGGACTACACCTAAGTCATCATAATTGCATTGCTTCATAATGCTTGTTTTGTACTTGTATTTTTCTTCATGGAATTATAAAATGCTAGTTTCTCTAAAACTCTCCTTTGCCTACTGACCACTTGCATCTGAGAGAAGGGATAGAGCAGTACAGCTACTCCTTTGTTTGAAGTTGTCTGCTGGAAAGCAAGTGCAATTTTATTTTGTATTTTGCTCTGTCAGGCAATCAAACATACTATAATGAAGCAGTACATTTACCTGACCCTGGCCATCTCACTTTACTACCACAGCCCCCCTTAAGAAGATACCAATTCCATATAGCACACGCCCAGAGTAAACAGTTTGGTAGCAGAAGCGTATTACAACTACTTTCTACTGCTTCAGTGGATACATGTCTTCCAGAGATCTGCTCATAAAGCCTCAGTGTAACCCATGGTCAAACCTTCTTTGAAATATGAAATGAAAGGCGATTTAAAGGGAAGTACAGATTTTAATCTCAATTTAAATCACATGCATTGGTCTGTCATGCCATGTCTCCCAGAAGGTTTCTAAGTCATACATCTAAAGGACACCACTACAGCGTCTCTGTAACTTTGTGTGCAAGAGTTGGTTGCTCTGCCCAACTGGCGAGGGTGGGGGATGCAGGAGTGCCAAGCTCTGTCTCAGCTTGGAGGTACTGACTAGCAAGACCTCAGACTGAAAACAATT